GAGAGAGAGAGAGAGAGAGAGAGAGAGAGAGAGAGATTGACCGATAAAGAAAAAGGCAACCAGAAACGTACTTCGATACAACAAATACATAATAAACAGAGGCACAACAGGCAGACACACAGACATGTTGATAGATTACATTGGGAAACCCTAAAACAACCCATATCACCTTCAGTTTTTCTGGGTGGGAAAACGATCACCTCTTTTTCGAAAAACGCATTTCTTTGTATTAGAAAGAGTTTTGCAACACTTGCAACACAACTAGATGGTGCAGAAGATTACAGTTTTAATTAGGTTTTAGTAAAGTTTTACGGCGCTCGCAACTGCATAAGGTCATAGGAGCGCCAAGGGGTGGATGTCAACAGAGAAGTCTAAAAGGGGAATCAGGCTTACTCTGCTCACGTCTCCGGCCTCAACACAACAGCACACAGTCTGCTTCGACTACAAAGGCACCCCTAATAATATAGCAGTTCACAAGATAGCGAGAAACATACAAAAGAAGTAGAGGGAAAATGACGATAGTAAGGATTAGGAGAGAAAAAGCAGCAGTTCCCCCTATGTTGTTCCAGCTCAGCATGAGCATGACATTAATAAATCAGCCCATCTTTCTGCTGTGCATAAGAACATGTAAATATCCCCCCTTAGGGAATGGCCTAAGGACACATCAGTCACCGAAGATTAGAGGTGAAACAAGATAGTAACAAACATAAGAAAGAATGAAGAAAGATAAATACGGCAGGTGTGCAATAGGAAAGAAGGAGCAAACCAAATCAGAGCACCCGCCAACAACCGCAGACAGACACGTTGATGCTTAAATATATAGATATAGAGATACAACAGACACACACAAACAGATAGATAGATAGATAGATAGATAGATAGATAGATAGATAGACAGAATACATTGAAAGACCCAACAACAATCCGAAACACTCAATTCTCAGCTTCCTGGGTGGGAAGCATTCTAATAAAACGATCGTCGTCTTTTCGACAAACACATTTGTTTTAGTAAGAGTTTTACGACACTTGCAGCACAATTAAGTCATATAAATGCCACAGACTAGAGATTTACATGACAGTAACAAACACATAAAAGAAGAAAGAGAGATAAGGACGATAGACGTTAGTTAAGAAAGAAGGAGCAAACCACATCAGAGCACCCGCCAACCACCAACTGACAAACGTAGCCCAATCGACAAGGAGCGCATACCAGATAACACGGTGGACGAGCCATCCCCGGGTGAAAAAAACAAACTCATTTGTTGAAGGTGAATGGAAACTAAAGGTTTACAAATATGTGCTTAGCGAGGGCATTAAGCGGTGTGGGAAAGGAGACGGTACGTTTACCTAAGGTCAAGAAAAGAGCATGAACGATACAACAGACAGTAAAGGAGAGCAGCACTTCGCCGGTGATACAACAGATAGAGTTAAGAAAACCAAAAAAGAAGGAGGCACTCAGGTGATACAACGGCTGTTCAGTCAGTGTTCAGAGAAAACACATTGATGATATCGCAGGTTTTTATTTTCTACGATTTAAAAAAAAATATGAAAGAGCTTTTATAGTAAAAGTAAAGAAACAGAAACGTGGGCAGACATGGAAAGCATTAAGAGGCCAGCCCAGAATAATAAGGAAAGATGGAAAGATTTGCTCGTGGCCTATACCCTGATCAAGGGAAAGAAAGGAAATGATAATTTAATGAAGAGTCCAGAGAACCATAACCATAATTTAACAGTCTACAGTTAGTCACTACAATTCAACAGACATGATTTAGCTTATAGTACGAGTAAAGAGAAACACATCGATAATACAGAAATAAGACGCTTGGTTTCTACGAATTAATGGACATTTAGTTTATAGTGAGAATAAAGAGAAAGACATCACTGATATAACAGACATAGTTTATAGCAAGAGTAGTAAAGACAAACACATTTGTGATATTTAGTTTCAAGTTAGAGCTAAGAGAAGAAGATTGACAATTCAACAGACATTTGATTTCTGGTAATTTGGTCTACAGTTTAGAAAAGAAAATTAACGGTACAAAAGCCATTCAGAAAGACCTAGCAGTAGCGCCCTCCAACCAGTCGTGAGAAGGGGAAAGAACATCTGACAAAGAAAGAAGTAAAAAAAAAAAAGAAAAAGACTGGACAAATAAGAAATAAACTCGACAAAGAAGTAAGACATACGTAAAAAAAAAAATACCCCATCCACACTCAGACTTTGATTTTTTCCTCCCCCCCCCCCCGCCTTTTTTTTCTCCCTTCCCCATCCACCTCTCCTTCATTCCGGAAAGAATCAGGTCATTACACAAAATACGTGACTTCCCCAAAAAGGCTAGCTCACTGAGGGCTAACTGGGTGTAATATTACTACATTCACAGACGTGGCCGTGGGCAGGGATGGAGAGGTGTCGCTTCCTTACTCAAAGTCAAATAATTATTCAAAGCCCATCTTACAGGAGAACGGGGGTGTTATTGTGTGTGTGTGTTGGGGG